ACACACACACAAAGTCTAGGGAAGGGGTACACACACACACAAGTCTAGGGAAGGGGTACACACACACAAGTCTAGGGGGGGTACACACACACAAGTCTAGGGGGGACACACACACAAGTCTAGGGGGGGCACACACACAAGTCTAGGGGGGTAACACACACAAGTCTAGGGGGTACACACACACACAAGTCTAGGGGGGCACACACACAAGTCTAGGGGGGGCACACACACAAGTCCAGGGAAGGGTACACACACACAAGTCCAGGGGGGTACACACACACACAAGTCCAGGGGGGTACACACACAAGTCCAGGGGGCACACACACACAAGTCCAGGGGTACACACACACACAAGTCCAGGGGGTACACACACAAGTCTAGGGGGGGTACACGCACACAAGTCCAGAGAGGTGTACACCGTGAGCTTTAATCTTATAACCTGGTTCATTAATAAATTTGCTCAAGGGGTCAAATAAACGTTAGATTACAGTCAGATGTACTAAGCTAAAGGAATAAAAATTTTATCTCTCTTGCAACATACGAGATGTTTATGTTCAAATTAATTGCTATGTTGTGCGATTCCAGTAATGCAAGTTGTATTCTGCCAAGTCTACTCTTTTTATATTTTTAATGGGGAATAGCTCACCCGGACACAGGTCATCGACCCACAACAGGCTTAGAAGCAAAATGCGAGAAAAGAAATAAAATAGAAAAGAAAAATATTATATTAATCACATCACAAAAATACCGGCAAACCAGATTGTGAGTATGGAAACACAGAAGAAGGCAGAGCATTCTACAGTTTAGCGTGAGGAAAGAAGGAGGTACTATAACGGGATATAGTAGTTTTTTTTTTTTTTTTTAATGGAATAGCCACCGGCACAGGTCAAATGACCACAATGAGCCTGGGGCGAGAAAAAAATGGAAAGAAATTGAAAATATAGAAAAAGGCGAGCCACACTACATTGAAGATGCCGGAAACCAGCTTTTTAAAGTGAGACTGATTGTAAGGGCATGGAAACACAGAAGAAGGAGAGCATTCTGCAAGTGCTTGGAGGAAAGAAGGATGCACTAAGGGGTTATTTCGAATTAGATATGAGAGCAGTACTCCAAGTTAGGACGAATGAATCCCTTATATACTTGAAGCAACTGCTCAGGAGTGAAGTAGCTGCGGCATCTGTACAGCATTCCCAACTTTCGGGAGGCAGCTTTAGTTATACTAAGGATGTGTGATTTCCAGGACATATTGGAGGAAATGGTGAGGCCTAACATATTTATTTCAGAATTTGGGAGGATGATAGCGTCCTGAAATGTAATTGGTGGGAGATCATCTAATTTATAAAGTGTAATTGGTAAATATTGAGTTTGGTTACTGTTGAACTTAACCAAGTTTGTACCTCCCCATTCAGAGATGCTGCACAGATCCACATTGATAGAAGTAATGATATCAGTTCTAGAAACAGATCTAGTTTGAGAGTTAGGAGGAAGGGGAAAATGTGAGAAAGAGTGAAGAGTGGAATCATCGGCGTAAGAATGGATAGAATTAGTTGTAGTGTGAAGTAAATCATTGATAAAAAGAAGGAAGAGAGTAGATGAAAGAACAGAACCCTGTGGGACACCACTATTGGTAGAGAAAGAGCGAGAGATCGATCCCTCGACAACAACTGCCATGGATCAGTTCTCAAGGAAGCTAGAGATGAGAGAACAAAGTGGGGGAGAGAAACCATAAGAGGGAAGTTTAGAAAGCAAAAAAAGACTTGTGCCATACTCTGTCAAATGCTTTGGAGATGTCGAGGGCCACGACGAAAGTTTCCCCATAATCCCTAAGAGAGGATGACCAAAGATGGGTGCAATAGGAGAGCAGATCACCAGTAGATCTCGCCTGGTGAAAGCCACACTGGTGATCCGACAAAAGAGAAAGGCGTTCAAGGTGACGGAGAAAATGGGAGTTCAATATAGTTTCGAAAATCTTAGAGAGGGATGAAGTTAGGGCAATGGGGCGATAGTTAGAGGGATTAGAATGGTCACCCTTCTTTGGGATGGGCTGAACCAAGGCAAGCTTCCAAGAAGAAGGAAAAGTTTGGGTTTTGAGGCAGAGGCGAAAGAGGCGAGCAAGCACAGGGGCCAGGGCTTCAGCACACTCCCTCAGAACACGAGGGGGTATTCCGTCCGGTCCATGCGCCTTACTCACATCCGACCTGGATAACACACCAGCAACCCTGCAAGTGGAAATTATAGGAAAGTGTATAGGTTCAGTAGGAGTAGCAGGGGTAGAGTGGGAATTGTCTAAGGTGGAGTTAGAGGAGAATAAGGTGCCCAAGAGATTGGCTTTATCAGGGGTAGAGTTGGCTATAGAGTTATCAGGTCAGAAGAGAAGAGGGAGTACAGAAGTTATTACAGATGTTTTTAGTTAAGGACCAGAAGGATTTACTAGAGGAAGAATTAGTCAGGTCAGCGGTCTTTCTTTTTAAAAAATTCCGCTTGGCCCTACGAAGAATAGCCTTACAGCGATTCCTAGAAGTAATGAAAGAGGTGTGGGTAATAGGAGAAGGAGATAGTTTCATAGCTTGATATGCCCTATCTCTCTCCCTGCAAGCAAGAGAGCAGGAGCAATCAAACCATGATTGTAAAGTGAAAGTTTTGGTAGAAGATGGGATAAATGCACTCATACCACCCTGTATAACCCCAGCAATGCTGTCAGCACATACCGAGGCATCCCGAGTGGAAAAGCAACATTCACCCCAAGAATTGCCAGCTTGCCCTCCAATAGTGCCATAGTTGACGTTTAGAATTACAGCTTGCCCTCCGATAGGGCCATAGTTGACGTTTAGAGGGGGGGGGTGGGGGAGGTGGTCATGCCCATGTTTGATTTGTTAGAAATAAGATTGTGATCAGAAGACCCTAAGGGGGCAGAAATTGAGTATGAATAGTGTGAGGGGTTAGAGGTAAAACAAAGATCAAGAATGTTAGCTAGTCGATCAGGAATGCGTGTAGGGTGTTTGATTATCTGTTCCAAATCAGTAAGTAAGGAAATAGAGAGTGCCTCAGCCCCACCACAGCCAGGCCACTCTCTGTGAGGTGTTGAGCCAACTTCATACACTCATGTTTACCCATAATTGTTAATATAATGAGAGTTGCGACTTATGTTGTTCAATATATCCATTTGTTTATAATTTACACTTATGTTTAATGATTTTATCTTTGTTTCATTTAGATAATGTGTGGAAAGGTAATGGTGGTTCATGGCACCTGCTGAACCATGAGGTGTTTATTAGATAATTGTGAAATATTGGGGTTTCTGTTAGAGTGAAAATAATTAAAATACTGTATGTAATAACGAGATGGAGTTCGTTTTTGGAGTGCATGATCCTGGAGTAACAGTGTGTAACTGGTAATAGTCAGACTTGCATTAAAATACTGTATGTCATAACAAGATGGAGTTCGTTTTTGGAGTGCAATTTACTCACCACAGAGGACAGTAACGACATAGGTTTATCTTTAAATAACTTAATTTACAAATACTAAAAATTTAATCACCACACAACAGCCACTGACGACAGGTCCTTCCTTCAGGGGTCACTCAGGTCAATGGCTTGTGGTGAGGTCAAACTGGTGTTATACCAAGGAAGGAATATACAGAGAAACTTGTACTACACTCAGCCCCTAACTGCTGCCCCATCTCTTGATTTAATTTTACCATAAATATAAAAGTTCATCAAAGAAAACGTATTATTGTTAATTAACATTTGTTTTACAGTGCATGAGTTCTTAAATGCCACATTAACTCCTCTACTGTATATATTAACCTTGTCAAGTATATCACCTTAGTCTGTCCTCACCCCTGAAGATGTGAATTACAGGAAAGACTTTGAGACCTTAGTGTTATCTTCTTCCCTTGAGGTCATCGGCCTTTACCTGGATCACGTGCACCTACCAGAGTTGCCAACTTAGCGACTTTGCAGCTAGATCTAGAGTTTTTTGTTTTTTCTAGCGACATTTTAGAGTGATTTGCGACTTGTCTCGACTCTAGAGATATCCACAGAAATCTAGCGACTTTCTGGATACTTTTGGACTGTCCATGAAAACTCAGTTTTCCTAATTTCGAGCCATAATATATAGCAACGGGGTTACAGGGACAATAAATAATAAGAAAAGTTTAATACATTTGAACGGGTCGTGGTACAGAAGGAGGGACACGTCTATTTCCTGATCACTTGATGTCAGCCCGTCCATGCATCTAACACCCTAAAATTGTGGTCAGAAGTGGCAAATTACAGAGATGCGACAGGTGAAAACCCTTACCATGATCTGGCTGAAATTGCACTCGCTGCCTTATCTCTTCCACATTCAAACGCAGATGTAGAGCGCACATTTAGTAATATGAACTTTGTGAAATCAAAATTGCGCAACAAAATGAAACTATCGACATTAAAGGCAATTCTTACAATAAAGTATGGGTTAAAAAGACAGAACACCTGTTATGAACTTCCTAGTGATATTTTAAGAAAGATAGGGACTGTGGAGGCATACAGTTACAAGAGAACCTGAACCAAGCACTTGACATGCTTCCAGCTCTACAGTTGTTCACACTACCAAGAGGACTGGGATGTAATTACTATTGAATAATAGGTAAGTGTGCACATTAAACTTTAAAAAAAATAATATTTTTATTTTTACATAATGCATTTTATTTATACTCCGTCCATTATAGTCGTCATTATGAAAATATTATTTGCATCAAATTACTGAAGGGGGGGAATAATAGCTAGCGACTTTCCATGGAAGATTTAGCGACATTTAGCTACTTTTAGGTACCAGCCCAGCGACATTGGCAACCCTGGCACCTACAGTGATTAACTTACCTGGAGGATTAATAACTATATTTTTAACCTAGATGTTTATTTTAATATATATATGAATAATAAAACGTAATTATAATGTATGTTAACTGAATAATGATAAAATAAAGTTTGTGTTTATTGGTTTAGTTTAAGTTTAACTCTTGGTGTATAAGACATCTGGACCTAAACCACTGTGGTGACTTAAATTACCTCTCTACACCTAATTAAGCCATTTTACAGTTAAACCGGTAAGTTATATAATGAATAACCACAATTAGATGCTTTAATGATGTATAAAAATGATTATTAAGTCGTTAATTAAAATAAATATATAAATTTAGTAAGAGTCGACCCATCAGCTGACTCCATAGACCACCTCCCCACACTTATTTTACCCAATTTCAACGCTATTTAACCTATTTTAACCACATTTTATATATCAAGTTTATCCAATTTAATTCCATTTTTATAAAGGAAGTAGTTAGAAGGCAGAAAATAAGGTAAAAATTGAAGAAATAAGAGAAATATGAAGTTGTGCGCATAACAAGGTTCAGCTGTGGATGTTTCCCGCGTTATTAAGGACACGAGAACAACGTCTACTATAACTATCGTCTTTACTGGTTAGTTTATTAATTTATTGTCTTAATTACTCCACTTAATCAATAAATAAACTGTTTGTCTAGTTGTTAGTTGTTGTTAGAAGTTTTAAAGTAAGTTATTAGGGTTGTTTTAGGGGTTGATACTGACCTTACTACATGTTATTTGGTGGTTAGTTTATTAATTTATTGTCTTTATTACTTTACTAACTAATAAATAAACTGTTTTTAATAATTATCGATGTTGTAACGAAAATAAAAGTAAAAAGTTTAAATATCTTGGTAATATTTAAGGACAGTTGCTCAGGTTGGCCTTAAGAATATTATTTATTTATTAACTTCAATTAAAACAAATCTGGTGAAGAAAAACCAATATATTTATTTTTTTTTCCTGTACATCAAGAAGCTGTCATGGTAACGATATTTGTGTGTTAATGTTGATAAATGATTCATATTAACTTATTTTTACTTTTTAGTCAATCTTTCTTTGGTTAGTATTAGGTTAGTTTAAGGTTTGGGTTTGGTTAGGTTAGGTTAAGGGTAGATTAGGTTGGTTAAGATTGGTTAATATTGGATTAGGTTAACATTCAGGTGGTTTAAGTTAGGTTAACATTCAGGTGGTTTAAGTTAGGTTAGCATTAGGGTAGATTAGGTTGGTTAAGATTGGTTAATATTGGATTAGGTTAACATTCAGGTGGTTTAAGTTAGGTTAACATTCAGGTGGTTTAAGTTAGGTTAACATTCAGGTGGTTTAAGTTAGGTTAATACTCAGGTGGTTTAAGTTAGGTTAACATTCAGGTGGTTTAAGTTAGGTTAACATTCAGGTGGTTTAAGTTAGGTTAACATTCAGGTGGTTTAAGTTAGGTTAACAGTAGGGTAGTTAATCATCAGGTAACATAAGTTATGGTGATTTAAGCCTGAATCTAGTTTACTGAGTCAGACAGCATAACTACCAGCAGATGGCCTAATAGCCTATACCTAACCTAACCATCCACTTGTAATATTAAGCTTATTACTGGGTGGTATAATTGAACTTTATTACTGGGTGGTATAATTGAACTTTATTACTGGGTGGTATAATTGAACTTTATTACTGGGTGGTATAATTGAACTTTATTACTGGGTGGTATAATTGAACTTTATTACTGGGTGGTATAATTGAACTTTATTACTGGGTGGTATAATTGAACTTTATTACTGGGTGGTATTAACAAATTAGTTACTGCAATATGTGGTATTAATAAACTAATTATTTGGTGGTGGTATTAAATTTATTACTATGTGTTAATATTAAATTTATTACTATGTGTTAATATTAAATTTATTACTATGTGTTAATATTAAATTTATTACTATGTGTTAATGTTAAATTTATTACTATGTGTTAATGTTAAATTTATTACTATGTGTTAATGTTAAATTTATTACTATGTGTTAATATTAAATTTATTACTATGTGTTAATATTAAATTTATTACTATGTTAATATTAAATTTATTACTATGTGTTAATATTAAATTTATTACTATGTGTTAATGTTAAATTTATTACTGTGTTAATATTAAATTTATTACTATGTGTTAATGTTAAATTTATTACTATGTGTTAATATTAAATTTATTACTATGTGTTAATGTTAAATTTATTATGATGTGTTAATATTAAACTTATTACTATGTGTTAATATTAAATTTATTACGATGTGTTAATATTAAGGTCAATATTATGTGGTTTAGTGAAGACAGTTTGGTATTGTATTAAGAGTCAGGTGTGTGATTATTGACTGTTGTTACAGGTGTGTGGATATGAGCCATGGCTGATGCGTTACTACATGCAGAGTTGCTGGCCGCCTGCTCTGCCCTGGGGTACAGCGATGGGGTCAAGTACTACAAGGAGGCCGACTGTCTGGAGACGATAAAGGATCTCGTCCGTTACCTGAGGAAGGACGACGAGAGCCACGAGACTCGGCGGGTGCTGGGCGAGACGAGGGTGGTGCAGACGGACCTCCTCCCCATAATACGAGACCACGGACAGGAGGCCGAGCTGTTCGAGATAACCGTACGTCTCCTGGTGAACCTGACCAACCCGGCCCTCCTGCTGTTCCGCGAGGAGCTGCCGGAGGAGAAGGTGACGAGGCAACAGTTCCTGCAGCTGATCTCACAACAGCAGGGGTACAAGGGGGCCTTCATAGATGACAAGTTGTGGGGTGTGTTGGTGGGGAGGCTGGGTGAGCTGCTCCAGTTGGAGTGGGAGGAGCGTCAGGAAGAGGACAAAATGCTCATAGAGAGAATCCTCATCCTGGTGCGTAACGTGCTGTCCGTCCCCGCCAGCCCCGAGGAAGAGAAGAGGACCGACGACGACGCCTCCGTCCACGACCAGGTGTTGTGGGCCCTGCACCTGTCTGGTTTTGAGGACCTGTTGCTGTACGTCGCTTCATCGGAACGGGAGCAGGAGCTGTGCATGCACGTTCTAGAAATTATTTCCCTCATGCTGAGAGAACAAGACGCATCACAGTTGGCGGCGGCGGACATTGGGCGCTCCAGGACGGAGAAGGAGAGGGACCAGAAGGAGCTGCTGGAGCTGCGTCAGAGGGAGGCGGCCTACAGGCGGCAACGCAAGAACAAACACTATGGAGCTCGGCACTCCAGGTTCGGGGGGACGTACTACGTCCAGAACATGAAGAGCATCAGCGACCGCGACCTCATCTCCCATCGGCCTCTGACCGACCTGAGAAGTCTCGACCTCGACCGTGCCAAGCGACCCAAGAAGATCAACAAGAACAATGAGCCGCTGATCGATTGCAGCGTCACCAGGAGGTCGACGCTGGCCATTAGACTCTTCCTGCAGGAGTTCTGCGTGGAGTTCCTCAACGGGGCGTACAACAGCATCATGTACGCGGTGAAGGACAACCTGGACAGGGCTCGGGCGCAGGACCACGACGAGTCCTACTACCTGTGGGCCATCAAGTTCTTCATGGAGTTCAACAGACACCATCAGTTTAAGGTTGAGCTGGTGAGTGAGACTCTCAGTGTTCAGACAGTCCACTACATACAGACCAACCTGGAGACTTACTACGAGACCATGACCACCGACAAGAAGAAGATCCCGCTGTGGTCGCGTCGTATGCACAGGGCACTCGGGGCCTACCGGGAGCTTCTCTCGACTCTGGCAGCCATGGACAGATCGGAGAGTGAATCCGTCCGAGAGTCTTCGAAGGTCCTCGAGTCCAAAGTGTTCTATGTGGTGGAATACAGAGAACTGGTCCTAACTCTCTTACAGGTCTATAACCCGAAGAAGATGACTCCGACCTACCTGAAGGACTTGATAGAGACGACTCACATATTTCTGAAGCTGCTGGAGGGATTCTGCGGCAAACGTAAGCGCCTGATGGTGCAAAAGGTCAAGAAGGTCGGCAAGAAGAAGACCGCTACCAAGAAGACGACCGACGGTCAACTCACGGAAGATAAACTACAGGACCTGTGGGACGAGATGTCCTCGGAGTTATCGGCGGTGGTGCAGGGCGAGGCGGGCGACCTGCCGGACACCATCCCCTTTGACACGCTCTCTGAGGCGGCCGAGGAGGACCAGAAGGAGTCTGCCATGAGGAGAATAAACAAACTATTGCGTAACAAAGAGATGGCCGAAGCGGTGTCTCTGATGCGGTCCTCCCGGGAGGTGTGGCCGGAGGGAAATATTTTTGGCCCCGACGGCATGGATGCCTCGGAGGAGTTTCTGGCGCTGCGGGAGATATTTATGGCCGACCTCAACCCTGCGGAGGGGGAAGAGCCTCCAGAGGAGGAGTACGACGAGGAAGAGCAGGAGGAGGAGGAGGAGGTCAGGGTGCGGATCACGGAACAGGAGTTTGACTTCCTCGGCTTTCTGCGCCGCTTCGCCAACACCAATGTGATGCAGTCGTACGGTCGGCTCTTTAAACGATACCAGAGTAATTCCGCGCACACCAACCACTGCATACTGAAGATGTATCACCGCATCGCCTGGGACGCCAAACTCCCAGCCATTTTCTTCCAGGCGTCGTTGTTTTGTGTGTTTCAGCGAGCCATGGAAGACCCCAGGAGGAGTTCGGACGAATCCGTCAGGGAGATCGGCAAGTTCGGCAAGTACATCTTCCGGCAGTTCCTCAAAGTGGCGGAGAACAGCACCAAGGTGTACGTGGAGCTGCTCTTCTGGAAGACCAACAGAGACGCCGTCGAGATAGAGTGCGGTTACGAGGAACAAGGCGGGAAAGTCGCCACGAAGAAGGCGTGGAGAGAGGAGGAGGAGGACGAGCTGCACCGGCTCTTTGAGGAGTTCAAAGACGTTCCCGCCGAGGAGAGAGTCGGCAAGGACACCGTCGACCTCATCCTGCAGAACCTCATCAACCAGACCAGGACGCGACGGATGGTCATCAAGAAGCTGAAGGACATGGGACTAGTCACCCACATCAACGAGGTAAAACGTAAACCTTTAAAACTCAAGTGTCCCAGAGTTTGGTCGGAGGAGGAGGAGGAAGAGTTGAAGATGCTGTTTGAGGAACACAAAGGTGCTATGGACGTGGTGGGCAGGATCATGGACAACACCATGGAGAAGAGACCGAAGCACCGCATCATAGAGAAGATCCTGGAGCTGGGTCTGGTGTCTGACAGGAAGGAACTGTATAAAAAGAGACCCACTAAAGCCAAACCCAGAGTGGACATGAGATCTCGGGGCGAGCTATTCTTGGCCGCCAACCGAGGCAGCGAGAGTGACGACTCGGGCAGAGAGAGAGGTGACGAGTCCTTAGACGAGAGCCACGTGGCCAAGAAACCCTCGCGACGGCCGGCGTACGTCCCTCCGGTGGCCACTCCAGCGTTAATATCTCAAGCACTTAACGCTGTTCTGGAAGGCAACATGCAGGAAGCGGTGGAGTGGATGGCCGGAATACTGCAGGACGTGGCGGACGATCGTGAGGAAGACGGCGACTTTGAGCCGGTCCCAGTTCTTGCCATCACAGCGGCCTGTACCGACGCCATGGAGGACGACGCCTTCCATAAGCTCCTGAAGCTCGTGGGGATCCGGCCGCCTCAGTCTCACGAAGAGATGTTCTGGCGCGTACCGTCGCGGCTGTCTGTCGCCGCACTGCGTGATAGAGCCCAGTATCTGAGGCAGGGGATGGCTGGCGGCATTATTGACATGGAGAATGCCGACGTGCCTCTAGAGCCTGTGGAGGAGGAGGAGGAAGACACAAAGAAGAAAAAGAAGAAGAGATCGTCAAAAGAACCAAAGCGTAAACAGTCTAAACCGAAGACTCCGAAACGTAATAAATCTCCCGAGAACAACAACTTGCAAGATGATTTCTCCGACTCGGAGAACTTGGACCCCGAGGATAAGGAAAACTTTAATCGTAAACCTCGGGCGAGCGGCGGTGACGACGGGATGGTCCCACTGGCGGCCCGCACACCACAGAGAGTTGAGGACTCCAGCGATGATGATATACCTCTTACCTTCCTCTCTGGTGACCCGACTCCTTCCTCATCAAAGGCGCGCGGCCCGAAGAGACGAATCGTGAGCGATCCCGAGAAGAGCGACGGGAATTCAGAAAAAGCGTCCACGCGCGGTAAGAAGAGCAAGAAGAAGAGGCGATTAATCCTGAACGACGATTCCGACGAGGAGGAGGGGGAGGTGGAGGACAGCCCCGTGGTAGAGAGTCACGCCCTCGTCCTCCGTCTAGACACGGAGTCGACGGAAACGGAAAAGCGAGCCGGAGGCATTGGCTCCACGGTCGACAGAGCCACACAGAAGCCTTCACAGAGTAGGCGGATGTTGGACTCGGATTCTGAAGGTGAAAATATTCCATCATTCAGTGAAAAACAAAGACCGAGAGCCATAATAGACAGTGATGATGAATAACTTACTTAGATAAATAATGGAATGAACTCAAGTGTGAATATTGTGAGGCTGTGTTTTAATTATTCTTTTGTCATTGATGCAGAATAATATTGACATTTTAAAGGTTTCTCGTGTCACTTGAAGATTAAGAACCCCATTGTTTATTTTATCTGATGATTAAACCCTAACTTAAACCTAACCAAACTACCCTACCTTACTTTAACCTAACCTAGCCCCCTCCAGGTTGTGTAAAGGTGTTAAATCATCTGGTAAAATAATCTATGGAGTTTTATCTTCAAGTGTTCCAGTATTTTTTCCTATATTTCATTTATTTATTTTTTTATATTAAGAGAATTAACTAATAATAATCTTAATGTCTCTACAGTTGAATAAGGTTTATTTTTGTTTGTGTAATATAAAAAATATTTCTAAATAAATTTACTATTTTCTTTATCTTGTTTCAGTGTTTCCGCCGCCATGTTGATGAGCCTATTGAATAGAGCGTTGTCCCTCGGATGGTGCGCTGAACAGATATTTATTCACTGAGATAGTCACACAAATTTACACTGATTCATCGAGTGTATTGGTTAGCTCGCGCAGTTAGTGAGTTGTCCAGTCTTGGATTATTCTTAAACACTGGGTCATGCAGCTCGTTAAATAAGGGTGTGGTTGTTGTGTTGGTGATAGCTTTTACACCTTAAACACTGGGTCATGCAGCTCGTTAACTCAGGGTGTGGTTGTTGTGTTGGTGATAGCTTTTACACCTTAAACATTGGGTCATGCAGCTCGTTAACTCAGGGTGTGGTTGGTATGTTGGTGATAGCTTCTACACCTTAAACACTGGGTCATTCAGCTCGTTAACTTGGGGTGTGGTTGTTGTGTTGGTGACAGTTTCTACACCTTAAACACTGAGTCATTCAGCTCGTTAACTTGGGGTGTGGTTGTTGTGTTGGTGACAGTTTCTACACCTGAAACAAGTTCTCATCAAGGTGGCCCTAGGGCTGACCATCTTGCAACACATGGGGCGGCCATTATTATTTCAGTTCATCATGTAGCATATACAGACAATACACATAAATCATTCCATTATATAAACAATGTACATTACTAAAGACCAGATATATAAACAACGGTCAACAATAAGAGAATATCACCACAGCCATCAGATGTTTAATATATTTCAAAATGAGTTAATTACTGATCATAAACCAAATTTGTCTGATTATATCTTTGGTGAAAAATGTACAAACTATTTTATAAAACATATGGGTTTGTCATAACTGTTTTCCTAACTTATGATTGATAATGGTTGGGGAGATGATCAGTACAGTACAGGGTGTGACGGGATTCCATAAACTGATATATTTCAAACTTCATCTCAAAATATGTAGATGAGATGCACTAAAGAAATAACTCATGGAATGTTTGTTAGTGTCATCAAACCCACATGTATACTTTATAACTATTTTGGACAATTACGGTCATGAGAAAACAGCTCAACTACCTCAATGGTTAGTAAGTGGTAATATAATAAATGGTTAACTTTAGTAATGGGTTGAGAATTAATGACCAGTTTGTATACTGCATCGGTATTTATTAATGTCAGGTATTTTTTGTATATGTTTTAAGTTTTTTGGTAATAATGTTGTGGGATTATGTACCTAGACAGATTAAACATTTTTATATGCTTCTACACACACACACACACGCACACATGACTAAGCACATACACCACCCAGAAACCACATACAGACCTGCACATGCATATAGCACTCAGATATGACACACACTCACACACACACACACACACACACACACACAACAGCCCCCATAAACAGTTCAGTATATCAACAACTACTGTACTGTATACTACCCCTCACAGAAGACCTTTGAAGATAACGGAAAGCTACGAGTATATCGGCCATTGATGGAGATAGGAGGAGGCTGAGAGTCACGGTGAATAATTTACCATTTTTCAAGTTTATGTAATACTCAGGGGGTTAATCCATTGTCCTGGGGGTCTTTTATCATACTGTAGACAGCTATATAGTTCAGCAGGTATATAGACAATGCAGGTATATAGACAATGCAGGTATACAGTTCAGCAGGTATACAGTTCAGCAGGTATACAGTTCAGCAGGTGGTATAGTCTATAATGCTGTGTGTAATAAAGTAAATTAATCTTGATCTTGCCATTTTTACTTCACTGTTTTGACAAGAAGACGAAACTGATAAATATTGGTTACTTCTGTTGGTGATATACAAATGATGCGGCGTACAGCAGGGGTGATAATGTCGTCAAGGTGCTTGGTCCGTCTACGTGTAGGGAACTCAAAAGATATGGTCCACTAATCACTTTTACCTGTTGTGGAATTTGCCTTCTGACGGCTATTTAAATCAATCGGCAACTCTCTTACTTGAGGCTCTGTTGCTCACCAGGTTCCTTCATTGAGATCTGCCACCCACCACCACCTGCCACCCACCACCAACGAGACTGCCACCTACCATCAGCTAACCACCACCGCCCACAACCACCCATCAGTAGGAATTATATAACTATACAGGTAACCCAAGAGTATTATTCTTCAAATGATTGCTATCTGAAGTTTGTTTATCTGAATTGTCTATTTTGTGTTTTTTTTTTTTTAATGTAAGAAAAGATAGAACAGAAAAATGTGGCTTAGACAAACATCTACCATATATGTATTACCTATAGTAGCTGCATTTACAAGTTATTTCGTGTACTGAATCATTCTCGTGTCCCTTGTGTTTACATATCCTCTCCAAAGTACCATATCATTCTTGCATCCATCGTATTGACATCATCATTCCAACTTACTGTATAATTTTTTTATTTTTTTTTTATTTACAATTCCCGTTTGACTAATTTTTTCTCTCTTGGCCATCAGGTGTGGGCCATGGACCAGGATCTCAAGGGATGGTACACGGAACAGTCGCCCATGTGGCCCGGGCAGGCTTTCTCCCTCCAGATAGAGAAAATTTTACATGAGAAAAAAAGCAAATTTCAGAACATTCAGGTCTTGGAGAGGTGAGATGGTTCACTGCTGTTGGTGGGCTGCCATTGGGCCTTAGACTGGGTTAAATGGACCATAGACTGGGTTAAATGGACCATAGACTGGGTTAACTGGGCCATAGACTGTTAAGTGGACCACAGACTGAGTTAACTGAATCTTTGACTGGATTAAATGGCCTTTGGTTATGAACTGGGAACTAATTAATAGATGTTGTATATATTTACATGAGAATTAAGTTCATTGATAATTACTGCACTTCCAGAATAACACAATTTGATAAAAATTACACCTTGGAAACCCATAGTCGGCGAGTACAGTAATTAGCATTGAAAAAGTACTGTAATTAAAATATTCCAAGCATCATTATAACTACTAATTACCTCACAATCGAGTCATGGACCATAGATTCAGAATGCTCAGGAGTACCTATACTGAGAGTTTAAACAAAAGCCATTTCTGGGCCAAAACTGTAAGCCTAAGTATTTTTTCGACCAAAATTTACTCTTCTCTCGGAATTATAATTTAAGGGATTTAGCGAATTAAGCACCGTACACTTTACATTTATCCTGTACGGCATCTGCTAAGTTAATATAATTTTGTCCGGCTGGCGTCGGCAATTTTTTGACTTTTGGATTTTGGCTGAAATGGACTTATTGTATACTATCATATAATGACGGAGAAATATCATTTAGTAATTCACCGGACCATGGAAGGTGTAGTTAAGCCCATGGGTGAGTGTGTCGCGGTGTTGAAAGTTTACACGTAGAACCTGTAGAGTTTTACGGGTGTTGACGTTTATCATCGAGTGAGTGGAATTAAGCTAATTACCGTAAGTTTTCACCGTCTGTAGCTGTTTTTCCTTTATTTATCGTCTATCTCGATTTCGTAAAATCAATATATTTATCCTTTTTTGTATTATTTACACTCGATTCATAATAATTTTCACCAATATGTATTTTTTTGTATGATTTTATAATTATTTATTTGGTTTCTCTTTTGCATTATAAGTATAGATTTTCCAGTACTTATTCATTTATCTCGAAAGTATATCGGAGTAACTGTTATGCCGTTGACGCTGTACGGCTTAAAATATATAGTATAAATCTCTCTAAAACATATATTTAAATGTCATCAAATATTGTAGTTGTACGTAAATAAAACTCTGTACGGTATACATGGAGTAAAATTGAATTCATATTTATACATGATATGCCTTAACAGAACTCTTGTGTACATGTAGTAAAACTGCATTCATACTTAGCACACAATTAGAACTATACATTCAATAAAACTGAATTCATAGTCATACATAGCATACATTACCAGTATACATGAAGTCAAACTGCTTTCATACATAGCAGACAATAATAAAACTCCTCCCCCCTCACAGCACACACTACGGCAAGATGCTGGTACTAGACGGAGCCATCCAATTTACCGAGAGGGATGAGGCATCTTACCAAGAGATGATTACCTTCCTCCCTCTCAACTCTCACCCGCACCCTAAGAAAGTAAGATAATTTACCTCCGTTATCTCTCACTTTGGATATAATTGAATTTCTTTTGTGGTGTTTCATATTATTTGTTTGATAATTAATGAATGTATTAGTGTTAGTTGAGGTGTGTATGAAGTGTTGTCTTGTGTGTGATAATTTATGAATGAATTAGTTGGTTTTACTTGTGTCTATCTCCTCAGGTTCTCGTCGTAGGTGGAGGTGACGGTGGGGTGGCGAGGGAATGTAGCCGACACCCAGCTGTTGAGGAAGTCGTCCAGTGTGAGATTGATGCTGAGGTGAGTGTGTGTGTGTTTGTGTGCGTGTGTGTGTGTGTTATTTACTGAGAGATTGAATGGGATTTATTGAATAAGATTGACCTCCATGTTTACACTGATTCACCACGTGTATCAGGCAATGTATATACATAGTTGGTGCAGGTATACAGTGTACATATACAGTACAAGTATACAGACAGTGTAGGTATTCGTATACATAGACAGTGCGTATACAGATAGTGTGAGTCATTCGCGTCATCTATATTACAGGTGTGTGAGTCATTAGTGTCATCTATTTCAGGTGATAGAGGCGTGTAAGACATTCGTACCATCTATGGGTTGCGGCTTCTCTAACCCTAAGCTAACTCTGTACACTGGGGACGGAGCGCAGTTCCTGGAGAAGACCAACGACAAGTTTGATGTGATAATAACAGATGCTTCAGACCCTGTGGTGAATGGCGATGGTGGAGGGGTGAAAGATGGTGAGCTTATGTGGTTGTTTTTCCTCTCCTGACCTGACCCAACCCAATCTAATCTAATCAGATGAAAGATGCTGAGGTGCCTAATCTTCTCAAGAGCCTATTTACTGACTTACTAACTAACTAACCAATCATGTTCCCCCAGGTCCTGCCATTTCACTGTTCCAAGAGGATTACTACGCTCGCATGAAGGACAAGTTAACCGAGGGAGGAATCTTGTGCTGTCAGGTACGTACTTTGTGTGTGTGTGTGTGTGTGTAGTGTCCTGTATGGTTAAAAATGCACTAATATTCTGCTTATTTCTCACTAGGGGGAGTGCATGTGGCTGGATGCTGCTCTGATCAGTCGTCTGGTGAAGAATTGCCACGAGATCTTTCCTGTCGTGGAGTACGCGTACACCTGTACCCCTTCCTACCCCTCGGGCCAGATCGGTTTCATTCTCTGTAGTAAGAATGAGGCGAGTCGAAAATCGTGGCTGTTTTGTGTGGTAACAAGAAGAGAATCATTTCATTCTCTTTGATAAAAATTCAGTGAATTAAAAACCCTTATCTTGTGTAGTTATCATGAGGACAATATATTGGCTTGGAAAGGTGTCCAATCACCTGTACTCTGACTTAATGATTGACAGAAGATAACAGCGACTGATGTGCTAACAAAACTCATTGGTATAAAGTTTTCAGTAAGTGATTTATTATGTTAGGTTTTTGATCTGTGATGTAATTTAAATGTGTTTATTAATCTATAATTGGGGTTTTTATTAATGGATTTTGATGATTAGCTAAATTAACTTAACCTAAACTGATCTATATTATTAATGTTTGGTGAAATTCTTTTAGTTGAGGTGTAGAGAGGGGAGGTGTGATGAGTGTTGGTTAAGGTGTGGATGGGTGTACAGAGAAATATATTTAGCATCTAGTAAAATAACATAGTAAAGCCCCTGAGTTATATTTAGGAATGGTACTGGGGAACTGAACTTCACCTAAACAATATAAAAAAATATCTCATAACATTTTAACAGTAACATGAAATTCTTAATAATAATACAAAATACAGATAAACTCGAGTCTAATCTGTTTTAACATTTGTGATCTCGCCAGGCCACCAACTTCCGAGACCCAGTGACGGTTTGGGACTGCGAGAAAGCCACCGCTCTCTCCCTCAAGTACTACAACGCAGATATCCACCGCGCCTCGTTTGTCATGCCTACGTTCATGAGGAACATTCTCAAGGATGCTCGATAAACTAAGTCTTTCCTTCTTGTATACATAGATGACGTCCATTGTGGTGTTTTAGCCCTTAATCAATGGCTAAGGATTCCTAAATTATCCCCTCCTACCCCTCCTATACCCTCCTGCTCCTCATCCCCTCATATGTGCAAAAATGTAATCTTCCACTGATAATGGCCGCTGGTTAAGGGTTAAAATAAGCTGGGGTGACTAATCTTTATGTCATCTAATAAGGAAGATGTGAGATATTGTTATTCTATTTTTGTTCTCTTCACTGATTGGTTCATTATTTTTATTCTCTTCACTGATTGGTTCATTATTTTTATTCTCTTCACTGATTGGTTCATTATTTTTATTCCCTTCACTGATTGGTTCATTATAGTTTGTTTTGTGTTTTAGTTATTCATTTCTTAAGTCCTCACATTTTCTAATCCTTTACCATAGCACTAAATTTTTCTTTGTTAATTTTCACCATCAAATGAAATCCTTCCAAATTTAACTGAAGAGATATTTTCTTTTTCTGTTCATAAGGTTGTGTTGTCGAGTGTGTATACTAATTATGATCTTATAAACATGGTTCGTGGATCAGTAGATTTATTTATGTATCACAGTTGGTGTCTTATATAAGTAGACCACAGTGTATGGTCAAGAGTCTCATGGCAGCCACACATCACAACAAAACACTTGAGTTAATTAATGTCTTGTGTGGTCGCTGGTTTAAACAATCAAATGGGGGAAAATATCGTATAAAGATGTTGGAATTTATGTTCATGTGGTATTCTTAACTTCACTCAAATGTTGGAATTTATGTTCATATGGTATTCTTAACTTCACTCAAATGTTGGAATTTATGTTCATATGGTATTCTTAACTTCACTCAAATGTTGGAATTTATGTTCATATGGTATTCTTAACTTCACTCAAATGTTGGAATTTATGTTCATATGGTATTCTTAACTTAACTCAAATGTAACTAACCATTTAAGGAAGGACTTGATGACTACAGGCAATAGGTTCAAGGGCTGCAGAAGGTTTGGGGACTACTGAGTGTTAAGCTATCATAGGGTCCTGTGTATGCCGAGGTATTGATAGAATTTCCCCTTTAAATAACACAAAATTCAATAAGATTTACTAGAGACTGATATTTGTGTCATTTAAGATACACCACTTAAGAGACACCCTGTACAGTGTGATACAGGACCTATGAGACACCCTGTACGGTGTGATACAGGACCTATGACACCCTGTACAGTATGATGCAGGACCTATGACACCCTGTACAGTATGATGCAGGACCTATGACACCCTGTACAGTATGATACACCACTTATGAGACACCCTGTACAGTATGATGCAGGACCTATGACACCCTGTACAGTATGATACACACCACTTATGAGACATCCTGCAGGATAAAATGATAGTATAATATTTAGCTGCGGCGGTACAATAACTGCCCTCTCTTGTTGTTTAATGGGAAGAATTATTCTGATAAATATTTTAAAAGTGATTGTGGTATATTGGTGCCTATGACCGGTAACTACTGCAGAAGGGGTGGCGAGGACAGGTCTTGTGCTTGTGTATAACCAACACTTTTGCAACTACTGCAGTATAGGGGTGGCGAGGTCAGGTCTTGTGCTTGTATATAACTAAACACTTTTGGTAACTACTGCAGAAGGGTGGTATGAGGACAGGCTCCTGTGTTTTATATAACTAAACACTTTTGCAACTACTGCAGAAGGTGGCGAGACAGGTCTTAGGTTTGTGTATAACTAAACACTCTTTGGTTATCCTGAGAAATAGCTTATTATCTGCATGGAAGTTTTTACCCATTAATTGATTCCACGGAATTTAGACTACTGATACATAGTCTACTAATGTTGCTGACCCCATAGTAAACTTGGAATCCCACATCGATCAATTCCATGAGTAATGATACCCACATTGATCGACATCCCATGAGTACCGATACCCGCCATTGAGTATCCTATGAGTACCGACACTATTGATTTATCCCATGAGTACCGACACCACATTTATTCCATCCTTATGTGTACGAGTACTAATATTGATCGATCCCATGAGTACCGATACCCACATTGATCGATCCCATGAGTACCGATACCCACATTGATCGATCCCATGAGTACCGATACCCACATTGATCGATCCCATGAGTACCGATACCCACATTGATCGATCCCATGAGTACCGACACCCACATTGACCGATCCCATGAGTACCGACACCCACGTTGATCAATCCCATGAGTACCGATACCCACATTGATCGATCCCATGAGTACCGATACCCACATTAATCGATCCCATGAGTACCGATACCCACATTGATCGATCCCATGAGTACCGACACCCACATTGATCGATCCCATGAGTACCGATACCCACATTGATCGATCCCATGATTACTGATAATTTTATGTGGGGGAGGAACTATATATTTGTTGGTGGTGATTCGTATTGCAGTTTCCATTTTTATATTATTATTAAACTTGTGGATTATTCTTCATCATAATTACAGTAACGGGTTTATAGTTAAATGGTCTTTATAAAATATGATGTTATTGATATTGTCTTTAAATTTCCTGATACTTAATGTAGTGAAACCTCGATATAAAGGACTTCTCTCTATATAGTTCATTAAATGGGGGTTTCACATCTAATGGACCCTCGATATAACGGACTTTCATCTCTGTATAATCCTTTATATAGGGGTTCCACAGCTAACGGACCCTTGATATAATGGACTTTCATCTCAATATAGTTCGTTAAATAGAGGTTCCACATTTAACGAACCCTCGATATAATGGACTAACATCTGTATAGTTCATTAAATAAAGGTTGCACTATTTACCTCACTATGTAGACTTACAATGTAACAAGGGAATGAAATAAATGTATAATATATATTGACCATAAGAACTGTTTATATAATGTACTGTACATAGTTTATATTGGTTAGTCATATAAATTCAGCTTAATAATCTTTGACATAATGTATACTGTTTATATTGGTCTTGTTTCATATACATTGACCTTAATTCAATTTATTTTCTTTTTTTAAGGTCAATAAGTAAAGGTCTTAACTTTAAATTTACTTGTATGAAAATCAGGATATAAAATCATTTGAGCACCTGACATCCCAGCTTATTTCACCTGTAGATTAACTCCCAGCTTTACACCTGAAATTAAACATCCCAGCTTATTTCACCTGAGGAATAGCCCCAGCTTATTTCACCTGAGGAATAGCCTCAAGCTTATTTCACCTGAGGAATAGCCCCAGCTTATTTCACCTGAGGAATAGCCCCAGCTTATTTCACCTGAGGAATAGCCCCAGCTTATTTCACCTGAGGAATAGCCCCAGCTTATTTCACCTGAGGAATAGCTCCAGCTTATTTCACCTGGAGGAATAGCCTCAGCTATTTCCACCTGAGGAAGAGCCCCAGCTTATTTCACCTGGAGAAATAGCCCCAGCTTATTTCACCTGAGGAATAGCCCCAGCTTATTTCACCTGATGAATAGCCCCAGCTTATTTTCTACCCTGAGCCCCAGCTTATTTCACCTGAGGAATAGCCCCCAGCTTATTGGCTTCACCTGAGGAATAGCCCAGCTCCCAGCTTACCTGAGGAATTCAGCCCCTGAGCTTATTTCACCTGGGAATGCCCCAGCTTATTTCACCTGAGGAATAGCCCCAGCTTATTTCCTGCCTGAGGAATAGCCCCAGCTTATTTCACCTGAGGAATAGCCCCAGCTTATTTCACCTGAGGAATAGCCCCAGCTTATTTCACCTGAGGAATAGCCCCAGCTTATTTCACCTGAGGAATAGCCCTAGCTTATTTCACCTGAGGAATAGCCCCAGCTTATTTCACCTGAGGAATAGCCCCAGCTTATTTCACATGATGAATAGCCCCAGCTTATTTCACCTGAATATTATCCCCACAACTCTAATAATAATAAGCTGGTTGGGTGTTACCTCGCATAACAACATTAGCCTTCGAGAGACAACTGAACCAGCTATGGGCACAACAAGATGTCTAGTTGTCATAGAGCTTTGAATGCAAATTAAAATACCTCATATCTGCCTTTAATATTTAATACCAAAACAAATGGGTGAATAAATAGATAGTCAGTGTTGTATTGACCTATTATGCATTAATTTTGTATCTTTTTAAATCTTGGAGATACGACAAACAGATAGACAGAGAGGTAACTATATTGAAAGATAGATATATGTTCCTCAATATACACCGCCATCTATGAACCAAACCCTACACTAAAGCTAACCATAACTGCCACGTAGTCTATGACAATAATATATTTAAACCTTAAAATACGCTACTAATAACAATAAATAAATATATTAATATGATAGAGCGATAGATATAGAGATAATTAACTAGGATAAATAGATAATTAACCCAATATAAAAATACTTAACGCAAAAAAATTGACTTTAGCGCCATCTAGGAACAACATTCTAGACTAAATTGAGTAAAGTTACCAGTTAGTGTATTATTTTTTTTTCTCGTTATGTTACGCGTCTTGGTATAACATCCAGTCTTGTGTTGTGGTCCGGCCATCATCATACATTACCCCGAGTTATTTCTCCAAAACTTCATTAAATAACTCCAAGATACGATTACTTAGCCTAGTGAGTGATTAATGAGGTTGTTAGGTTGTTAGTGCAGTTGTGGATGGTTGTTATAGTGATGTATGAAGGGTTGTTTAGGGGTTATGAAGGGTTAAATAAGGGGTGGTGGTGATCCTTGCCTTGTCTTCCTTCTTCCTCCATCATGAAATTGTTGTGAGGAAAAATGGAATTATTATTTTATTATTTTTTAATCTTGTTTTAGAGTTTTATTTTGTGTTTTGTTGGTGTTTTTGTTTGGTTATAATGAGATGTTTTTGTTTGTACCGGTATAATAATAAATACTAATAATTATTTCAGGATCTTTGGGGTTTAATAAATGGCAAAAGCTTGAATTAAAAAAAAACATATTAAATCTGACTATACCTTAAGGAAAAATACCAAATAACGTTTATCTATAGTTAATCTAACCTTCATTACCTATATAAAAATAATAAATTGCTTTCTAAAACATCACCATCACCTTAAATATTTCTTACCCTGTATTTATAATTTTTAGTATTTTTTTGCTTGTTTCTCCCTCAATATATAGATAGTTTAGGAATTAAAATGTAAAACTAATTCTTATTAATGTGTTTGTGTTATATATATATTATTAGGTATACAAGCAATATATATAGGTAGAGAATTTTACTTTTCAATGTGTTTATAAGTAATAGTTAAGAATGAAGGTTGGTAAAGATTTGTTTTATGACCAGCTGAGAAATATATTACTGATAATTTATATTTTTGTCATATGAACGAATATTAGTTTATTTTTTCTGTCTAACGCTTATTTATGGAGATATGTCCTTTTAACACTAGTAATGACCATGTGGGGTCTAACACACACTCACTAACCTAACCTTGCATAAACCTGACATAACCTAATCTAACACTTAAGTTAACCTAACACTAACATTATATTTTCTAACCTATAACCGAACCTAACCAAATCTAACTCTAAGCTAACCTAACATGACCTAACATAACCCAACCTAACACTAACCTAACACTAACCTAACCTAACATGACCTAACATAACCCAACCTAACCCTAACCTTACATTTCCTATCCTAACACTAACTACCCAACTCTTTTTTTTTCATTTTTAAGTAATGTATTTTATTTTTTGCAGGATGCCAGCCTACTACAACCGCGACAATTATGGTGACGATGGTGGTGGTGGTCAGCGCTACAGGTGAGTTAGTTAGTTAGTCTCTGTAACTCTTTCTTCCCAGCTGCTTCTGCCATCGAACACATTTTGACTAAACATTTCACGTCCGTGTAGCGGTCAGGAGTTGTGTTGGGTTTTACCTGAAGATTAGGCACCCCAGTTTATTGCACCTGATGATAAGACAAGGTTAGGTTAGGTTATTTTATCAGCCATCGGCAGTTGTTTATGTCCACAATACTCTCGGAGACTAGTTCCGAGCGTTGACTTATATTTTTGGCCGGCAGGGGGCGAGGACGAGGCCGGGGCGGGTACGGTCGAGGAGGCAGAGAAGGCAGAGGCAGCGGCAGCCGAGGGTACAACCGAGGAGGAGGCGGAGGCAGACACTCCGACGACAGATACAAGTGGAGTGAAGGGAGAGGCAGTGGTGGTCGTCAGCGAGGGTCTGGAGGCTACAGAGACAATGGTTATGGACACAGCAGGTGAGTTTTGTCTTAATGTTCCACTGAGTTATTTTAGGTTTAAATATTCAACAAAGTTATTTTTTGTTTTGTCTTAATATTAAACACAGAATGATTTTACTTTTTATCTTAATATTAAACACAGAATTATTTTATGTTTTATCTTAATATTAAACAGATAATTACTTACAAAAAACATGCTAAAAAAGCCTCATATTTCAGCAGGTACAGAGATGGTTCAGGGAGCAGCCACCAGGGGGGGCATATGTGGCACAGCGGCTCAGACCGAGGGGAAGGCGGCTCACATATGTTCAGGTCGTCCGGGAATCACTTCAGCAGCAAGGAGTCGAGGATTGCTTTGAATATACTGAATGCTGAACTGGCTCTTGTGAGTTGACTTTGAACTAGTGCTGTTATGGGTTATAGTGATGGCCTTGATATAATGGACTTCCCTCTCCTTGTAATCTGTTAAATGGGGGGGGACTTTCACATCTTTCGGGCCTCTATAACCTAACTTAACCTAACTATGGCTGGGTACAGTGTTATGTTTGATAAGTAATACATAACAGTATTTTCATTGGTGTGTGTGGCTGACTACAGAACCAATACCTCTATACAGATTTTGCTCTGTAATTCTTGATAATTTATTGTGTTTGAGAAATATTTTTGTTTATATAGTCATTGTCCGTTTGATATACTGGATTTGTTCCTCCAGGCCATTAAGGTATTAAGTGGTAGTTAGCTGTAGGGACGGTGGCCATCATCTGTGGTAGTTAGCTGTAGGGACGGTGGCCATCATCTGTGGTAGTTAGCTGTAGGGACGGTGGTCATCATCGGTGATAGTTAGCTGTAGGGACGGTGGCCATCATCAGGTAAAAAGCTGCTTGGGGATTGGGTCGGTCCGGATTCTCAGGCAGTTCTTTCAAAATTCAAATTTAAGGAGGAATAAAGAAGAGATGAACAGGTACATTTTGATAGTTTATTCATTAGCAAATATAGCACGCTTCGTTTATCAAAACGAGCAGTTTTATAGAAAAAGCTGTGAATTCTAGAATTTTATTCTTTGCCTTTTTTATATCATAAATTGTAGACTTTCCAATGTCGTATGTTTCCATTAGAGCAGTATTGCTTACACCACGTTCTAGTTTCTTAATTATTTCAAGTTTGTCACTCAATTTGAACGTGTTCTTCTTTCTCTTCACACAACGAAGTTTATCTACTTTAGGAGCCATTATTATGGGCTTGTACAGTACTCTGTAAATGGAAAGAGTGGGACTCAAAATTACATATGTTGTCACAGTTTGATTGCTCGTTTTAAAGTGGCGACCGCGTGGTCGCTTGTTGTCGCTGTGCAGCTGTGGTGCTCACGCATGCACACATACACAAAAGCCAGCTAAAAAAAAAGTGAGTTTTCGAAAAGTCCGGATTCTCGGGTGGTCCAGATTTCTGGCATCCGGATTTTTGGACTTTTTCTGTATTTCATTATTAGAGTTAAGGACAGATTAAGGCATCCTTGGCCACTAGTTATAGGGTAAATGGACACTGACTCTAATAAGTTGAGGCGTTTACTTTCCAGGAAGATGAGTCCATGGATTGGGTAAGTGTCTGTTTAAGGGAGTCTTGTGTTGTGTTTAATTATCCCTGTTAGCTGGTGCATGACTCATGATGGTGTGTATATAAAGCTTTGACCTGACCTGACCTGTAAGATAGCTTTACTGCCTCCTCTGTGCACCCAGCTCCCTGTACAGCATAACTGCCAGTACTCCTCCTCCTCCTCCTCCTCCCTGTATTGTGTGAGAGACCAGCCTCCTCCTCTAACACACAGGTCCAGCTCCACCTGTGTTCCTCTTGTCTCCTTGGTCGGTTTTAAATAACAAATTCTCTTTTCATTTTCCCGATTAAGTGAGAGTGTGTGCACAGCTTCCTACGATGTTTGTTTCTCAATAACAGTCATACAAGAAAATGGCACTGAGATCATTTCAGTTTTTTTTAATAACTGATATGACACATTTGTGACCACAAGAACAAATTCTGCTCATGATTTCTTCTCCACCATGACCAGAGAACAGTGGTGAATGAGTTACTGTACAACTTTCACCTCCCCGATGTAAGCTTTGAAGACTTGTTGTGTCAGTTGAGGCGATGGTGCTCCGTACCATCGCCGCCCATTACTTTATCAAGGATTGGTCACTGTGCTCGGCGGCAGAGCCTCGTGTTAACATGGGACGTCCTCTCTCAGAGAGGCTCCGTGTGAAGGTCTGTGAGTACTGTGGGGTAACTGAGCGGTGAGTGTCTTCCACAGGACGGGGTGCGTTCGCCACCCGTGCACAAGTATCCCCAGCGTGAACGTCTGTTTGACCCTCGCAAGGCGAAGCGCACCAAGGGCCAGAGCGGTTATTCTCGTGGTCCTGTGGAATGGCTTAAGCTGGATCATTTCATGAAAAGGAAAATGGAAATGGCGAGGTTAGAAATGCCTCGGCCCGAAAAGAGGGAGAGCAAAGACACGGAAGAAAAGACTCCGGCGGCAGAGGGAAAAAAGGAGGCGAAAGAAGGGGAGCCGGAGAGTGCCACAGCCAAGGGAGGCAGCGATGCTCCCCCCCCTGATGCTACACAGAGGTAAGACCCTACACGATGTGTTGCTCTCAGCTGACTCTGTCAAACCTCTGCATTACTGTACAAGAATATTGTACTGTAGTTGTGCAGACTTAAAGCTGACTTCACTCTCTATGTGGTCAGGTTTAGTCTAGGTAAAGCCTCCTCTGTGCTGCTGGAGCCTGTACTGTACTGTACTGTACCAGTCATCAAGTGACTCACCCACCAACCTGTGAAGGGGGCATCACTCACATGACACATTAACATAACTTCTTCCTCTCTTGCTTCTATTATCATTTTCTCTTTATAATGTGTAATAATTGTGTAGGCAGAGCTCTACTCCTCTACCGACGGCTGCAGTCGCGTCGGCTCGCCGTGGGATTGTGGAGTCGACGAGGTTAATTCTCCCGTCAGCTGAGCTCCGACCACTTTTGGCCCCGTCAGCGGGTGTTACCGTCCACAGGTGTTGGTGGGTGGGGTCGTGAGGCCACATCTCCAAATTAAAAAACAATTTCTGTTTTCTTGTTCACATTTTATAGTTTTAACCTGACAAAAAAGCATCACAAAAGAGGGAACTGACCACTTAACAGTGTGGTGTGTTGACTCACTAGACCACCAACACGTGTGTACTGTAACCACCTGTAGGGAGTGGACTGTGTGGACCTCAGATGATGAGTCAATTATCTCGACTCTTGGAACTAGCCAACAGAGTACTCTACTGAATTGTACTGTACTCTACTGAATTGTACTGTACTGTACTCTACTGTATTGTACTCTACTGTACCTTTATGTATGTCTCATGTGGGTTTATTTTAATAATTTATAGGTAGACTCATGTAGGTAATTAGTCATATAAAGTGTGATTTTTGTCTAGATGTGCGTAGATCACCTCAAGTTTATCCCTCAGTTGGCAAAGTTAATGATTGTGTGTGTGTGTGTGTGTGTGCCAGAGGTGAAGTGGGAGAAACTCAACATGGCTGGAGGAAATTAATGGAGTTGCTGCCTTTATTGATAAGCAAGAGGACTTTCTCTGTGCATGAAACAGAAGTTATATGAGACCGGTGTGAGAAGTGTGGCAGTGAGACAATGTCAGTACACTTGAGTTAGCTGAAATGTGAATGGTGAGATGGATGTTTTAATAAGACACTGGAGGCCTTGTTAAGAGGACAGCTGGGTAGTGAGAGGATTGATGAAGTCCTGTACAGAGGCAGACTGAGAGGTGTCTAGGCATGTGGAGAGAATGGAGGAGACTAACTGGTTCAAGAGATACAGGTGTGTAACTGTGGTGGTGAGAAGAGACAAATGTAGGTCAAGAATGTGGAGGGTTAACTGTAGGTGTGAGAACATGCTTGACTGGTTAACTGTAGGTGTGAGAACATGCTTGACTGGTTAACTGTAAATACAACACAAATATAACATTGAGAATACTAATAAAGACCCACCATTACTGCACCTTAACTACCAATGATTATATACATTGATGTCTCCTAACTAGTACTAGGTAGGGGTAGCAGTTTCATAGTCGTCTCAGTGTGAATGTGGTGCTATTTGTATACAAGTTTATACACCGTACATACTTTGATATAGTGAAAGTATGGGTAAAAGTATGAAGTTTAATAGTTTCTAAGTGATGTTTGTTTGTAGTTCTAGTATTTTAGCCTGAACGGATCATCGAGGCAGTAGATTCAGCCAAGAGGGGGTGGGTTGGAGGGGATGGGTAAATGACATCGGGAGGCGAGTTAATATTTAGAGAATCGCCGTGAGTCTCTATATACAGTGTGTCTGCCACAGTATAAGTTATGGTACTTTTGTGGAGTGATATATCGTTGTGAGGGTTCAAACTGCCTGCTCCTCGATCCATTATCTCCAGGTGTTAGAAATTACTGATTATTGTGCAATGATGTAGAGGGAATTACTGTGATTGAAATAATTGATTGATTGTAATGTTATATCAAAGAGAATTAAATTTACTTAGTGATATATATTTAACTTTTAAGGAATTCAATTGGGGATTTTCCTTGGACTGTATGTGTTCTTAGACGTTCAGTTTCAGGGGGTCATTTTGGCGTTCAGCTTCAAGGGGTCATTTAGACGTTGTGTTAAAGGTCAAACGGAAGCACCCTCGACCCACAGTACATCAGGGTTGAGGTCTGACTGTGCATTTTGTCTCGGGTGCCGTAATAATGGAATCTTTGCAGTGACTCGGCCACAGCTGACGGGTCCAAGGACTCGGAGACAGACGCCAAGAGAAAGGACGACTCTAAAAAGAAGGACGAGGTAAAGAAAGCCATTTATTACACATTCTCTACACATTCAAACATCTTATACACATTCAAACATCTTCTACACATTCAAACATCTTCTATACATCTTCCACACATCCAAACACCTTACACATTCTCGTCCAATCCACATATTTTCTTCTTACCCATAAAACTTAAACATTTTCTACTCATTCACATAGGACGTACACATTCTCTCTCTCGACTCATCCACAAGACTGTTATATTCTCTGTGTCTTTCCGAGTCATCTTCACCTCCCATGATGTTAGGAGTCGTTGTGGTTCGCGCGTGTTTCATTCTTGCCGTTGTTTCAGAGTCACGATGAAACGAACGTAGTCATCCCCCGGGCGGCGCTGAAATGCCACATGTGTGCTATGCCAAAGTTCCCCAGCACCAAGGTATGTCGTTTGTGTCGCTGTACGGTTAGTCGTTTCATGTCGTTTGTTTTGCTCTACGGTACTAGGGTGTCTAGAGGTTAATGTACTTAATTTAAACAACTTGAAATAAATTCTGATAGCTTTAATACCCTAAGTTCTGACTCTAGCAGCCAGAACTTGGTGTTATTGTTCCGGTATTTCCCTCATGTTGGCTAGGGTGTAGACAGTGGTATGAGTGGGTTGTCTACTATCATTGTCTACACTGTTTTGGTTTCCCTGGGGTGTAGACAATGGTGTGAGGCAGTTGTCTACACTACTTTGGCTTCCCTGAGGTGTAAACAATGGTTAGGTTGTCTACACCTTAAATTTACTTCACGAAACTTATCAGGATAATTTATTTATTTTATTTATTTATTTTTATTTATTTTATTTGTTTATCTCGACAGTCGTACCTGAAGCACATAGAGGGTAAACAACACGCAATATTGGCCGACTGCTTCCACGACCGTAACATCGCTGTCATGGATCTCCTAATGGCCGAATCAAAGGTATGGCCGTTCTGTACACATGTCGTTCGTGCAATAAGTCGTTTGTTTGTTTGTACTCTGGATAAATCGTCTGTTAATTATTTCTCTCTAATTAATTGGTGAAGAGAACAGTTGTTATATAGTGTCAAGAGACCTGGTTAATTATACTCTACTTTAATGCCTCACCAACAAAAGCCTCAGTAATTATACCACAATTAGACCTCACAAACGTCAACACCACGTGGGTACGTAGGCTAAGGTCTCTTCTCGCTCTGTTTCCCACAGTTGGCGTGTAAGTGGCGACCCAGGAAGGGCGGCTCCAAGCGTTGCCGCAAGTGTGAGTGTTTTATGATCACCAACATTCAGCAGCACTGCCAGACAACAGAACACACGGTTAGTATCTCTCTCTCTGTCTCTCTTTACCCTCTCTTCTCCCTTTTCCTTCCTATTTCTCTTCCGTCATTCTCCCTCACTCCACCTTTCCTTTTCCTGTTTCCCTCTCTTCCCTCTCTTCCCTCTTCCCCCTGCCTCTACCCCTTTCCCTCTTCCCCCTGCCTCTTCCCTCTTCCCCCTGCCTCTTCCCCCTGTAAGGTGTTAATAGTTAGATATATATATTAACCCATATAATTAACTAGATAGATTATTTATTATCATAATTATTCAGATGTACAATTATATATATAGACAAAACTTAACATTAAATTCTCACTTGATTATACAGTATATGCTCAGTGTTCAATATACTCAAATTATATAGTACAGTACAGTATATACTCACTGTTCAGTATACTCTCTATAGTACAGTACAGTATATACTAAGGTATGTTTTATATCTCTTCAGTTGGTGAGTCAGTTTGCCAGCGTTCAGTGTTGCAGTTACAAATACAACCGAGCGAACCTGGAGGAACACCGCCTCTCTCTCCGCCACCTCAAGGTAACATTGTACCTTTATGTATTGTTGATAATATGTGTTTTTTTCACTATATTGAGGTTCATTGGTGGATTTATTCACTATAATGGGGTTAACTCTCACATATACACCCCCCCTCCCATACTCGTAAATACACTTGTAAACAATCGCGTCGACGCGTTGGATGACATCGTTAAGTGTGTTCGTAAACGGTCGTTATTAATCTCCGTTGTCTGTCCTCCGCAGAATCAGTGGGACATTGACCAGAAGAACACGGAGATGCAAGAACAGGAGGAAGAGGAGGAGAAGAGAAAAGAAATGGGTGAGGATAATTAGCGGGGATTTGAGGTCTTGGGTGTGTAACTAAAGTGTGTATTGAGGTCTTGGGTGTGTAACTAAAGTGTGTATTGAGGTCTTGGGTGTGTAGTGATCACAACATGCATACAGACAATGTATCACTCACCAATAACGACTATCACCACAAACTACCACGAGCAGTATGGGGGTAATCGGATAGTATATTGTGGGTAGTCGTCACGTTTTATTTATTTATTTATATATTTTTTCCCTCGGCAGACAAAGCATTCCACGAAGATGTTTACCGTCTCAAGATGTCGGAGGAGGGCGAGGAGGAGTTGACCTCTGCCACCTTGCCCCCACACGACCCGACAAAACCCATAGGTAAGTGCGAGACAATATCTACCCGAACCGCCAACCCCAAAGAGACTCACGAACCCGAAGCTTTTATGGACGGAATAATTATCAGTCTACTGCTTCGGGTTTACCGGTCTGAATCTCACGTGGTTTTTGGTATAGGCCTTAGGGTGAGAGGTCAATGGGCTCTATTAGATGACTATATACTCTACATTACACTAATCTAATAAACTATACAATGATATATAAAGTTAAAAAAGCTCCCCAAAATTAAACCATCTTTCTGTAATATATTTTTCTGTTTTATTTTTGTTATTCCAGGTTTGAAATTCCTCTACAGGGAGACTCAGTATCGGTGCGAAATTTGCCGGACTCATTTACGGAACGCACCGCACGCCGAGTACCACTTCCGCTCGGTGGATCACTACACCAACCTGTGTAGTCACTTGGCCGAAGAGAAGGCGAGTTTCTTGTGCGTTTGTTTAGCTCTGGTACATTTGTTTACGCATATCTTCGGTGTCTTCGTTTCGCCCTCGATCACCAATCATCACTATAGGATCAGTTGTGTGTTGTTAATGTTGTCTTCATCATCCCGCAGGAGAAGAAAGAACTGGAGAGATATAGAAAGAGGTTAGAAATATCTCCGCATCAGGAACAAGAATCAAAGGCGAAGGAGAACGCGGCCGGAGACGACGATGACAATTTCGAGGACATGAATAATATGGAGACCGTGGACGAGGCCTTGGAGGACGTCGACATGGAGACCCACCTAGGAGACGAAACTGGGGGCACCGGCAAGGAGGAGAAGGACGACGACGTGGAGAACGGGGGCGGTGAGGGCGGAGATCTGGATGTCTCCGAACAATCCGTGAGTGATCTGTGGCCTTGATTGTGGTATAAAACTCTTGTGATGGATTTTTTATTTATCTTTTATCATCTCAGACTGTGAATTAACTTGTAGTGTGTGTATATTCTTCCCGAACTATGACGTACAGTAACACACACACACACACACACACACACACACACGCACACACTGTGACTTGACTGCTCTTTTAACTCCATACAATACTCTCTGTAGATGGGGTCGCCTTTGGTGGCAGAAATTGGTGAAGACTTGGATGGCTTACCAGAAGAACTTCTCCATAAGGAAACACCCCAAGAACAAGGGAAAGAAGAACAACATCCGGATGAGGAAGAACAAGATGGCGGTAAGGAACACGACAAAGAACAGGTTGCTCAAGAACACGGCGAAGAACAGGATGCTAAAGAACACGGCGAAGAACAGGATGCTCAAGAACACGGCGAAGAACAGGATGCTAAAGAACACGACGAAGAACAGGATGCTAAAGAACACGGCGAAGAACAGGATGCTAAAGAACACGACGAAGAACAGGATGCTAAAGAACACGACAAAGAACGCGACGAAGACCCAGGAGGAGAACGCGTCGAAGAACACGATGAACCGAAACCAGAGGAGGAAGGAGAGGCTGTGGAAGAGAAGTGTTAAACATTGGCCCACACAGGTAAGGATTTCTGGAGCTTTTAGTCTCTTAAGATGAGAAAGATACATTTATTGATTAAACCTTTACTGAAAGATCATTGTGTGTGTCCTAATGCTAACCTAACTTTAGAATATTTAATCATCAAGTAAAATAAACAAGATTTGTGATGCTAACATTCCACTCTCTTCCCCTAGGAGTGAGGATGCAGAATTGGCCACAACAGCAGAGGAAAACCTGGGCTACGAACCTGCTAATGGGGTGTAGTGGAGTGTTGTCACGAAACCCGCGAGACGACAACAGTGGTCGTGGCTAAGAGGAATGGGGATCCACATCACGTTTCTGTATTGCTGCAACGATCATTGTATTATGGCGAAGACGATGTCAGAATGGACGTTATATTGCAACAGACGTCCCTATTATGTCGAGAGAGATATTTATTGTCAGTGAGTTGGCTCGTGAGGTGTGGGGGAGGGGGGGGTGAAGCAGGAGATGTTAACAAAATCTTGCCCTAATGATCACCACACGCCACCTATCTCTATCATCCTCCCTAGATCAATTCTCAACTCTTTCTCTCACCCTCTGTGTCTCAAGTCCCGCCCCACCAGCCATCTCGAGTCCCACCCTTCGCCCACTAGCACCATCTGGAAGTGAATGCGTATAACTAATGTCAGTATCCAAACCTGGGAGTCCAATTTTTTTACACCCCAGGTAGAAGTGTTATGAAGTTTTTGCTCACGTTTTTGGAACTAGTTGTCTTATTTGAGGTATTTTTTTATTTTTTATCGTAAGGTAGGATTTAAAAAGGTTATATCAGGGTGTTAGAGAAGGCATGATGTTACTCTGTATGTGTGTGTGTGTATAAAATATGTATACACACACTTAACATCAGTATGCACTTTACAGCTATAATGTACATACACTTAACACCTAAACATACTTACACACCAATACACACTTAACATCAACACACACACAGAACCTAACCACCATTGACTCTCATACATAACCTATTAAAAAATTAAGAGATTACAAAATTGAACTAATAAATCATAAAGCACATCATTGTATTTAATTCGTATCGTCTTTATTTCGTAGGAGGATGTGTAATTATTCTTGTATGTAGCGAGGAGAAGCCGAGGGAGGGGACTACGATACAGTCTCTACAGGTTGCATGTTTACACGACGCTGAATTTGTAATTTTTGATCTCGCAGAATCACATTTTATTTTGTACGCGAGTTGATAGACATATGGAATTTTAATCCTCGATATTACCTCTCAAGTGATATTTTTTCCCCATCGTCACGTTCGAAGTATTCCTCCCGCCCTCTCCCCACACATCCCTACCTGCACACCCCTCAGAAGCACAAGGAAGAGATTGCATTTATTTCTTGCATTATCAACGTTTTCTTTGTTTAATTATTATCAATGTTGTTCTTATTCTGTTTCTAGTTATATGAGGGATAGATTAAGAGGAATAGAAACATTTAAAGAAAGAAGGGAAGTATTTAATTAATGAATGATTGATAACCGTAGGAAACACCAATAAAGCGCTGAAATCACACGAAGGACTTCACAAATATAGTACATAATTTTATAACTCAAATATCTGGAAAAATTTAAGTGATTGTTTTGTTTTTTTTTTTGTTTTTTGTTTTTTAAGTTTCGGTTCATTCGGGAGGAAAAATATTTACACGTATATTATTTTAACAGATGGAATTGACCCGAAATTATGCCACAGTGATCCCGTCTATACGAGTGTATGGCTAACGGTAGGAGATATGATCCTTGACTCTGTTTAATGGTAGGAGACATGAGCCTTAAGGTGACATGATCCTTGACTCTGTTTAATGGTAGGAGACATGAGCCTTAAGGTGACATGATCCTTTACACTCTGTTTAATGGTAGAAGATATGAGCCTTAAGGTGACACCCAGTCCTTGACTCTGTTTAATGGTAGGAGACATGAGCCTTAAGGTGACATGATCCTTTACACTGTTTAATGGTAGGAGACATGAGCCTTAGGAGATATGATCCTTGACTCTGTTTAATGGTAGGAGACATGAGCCTTAAGGTGACATGATCCTTTACACTCTGTTTAATGGTAGGAGACATGAGCCTTAAGGTGACATGATCCTTTACACTCTGTTTAATGGTAGAAGATATGTTTGTGTTTTAAAATAAGATATGTTTGTGTTTTGAAATAAAGTGTTGCCTTTATCTGGTGTATAAAGTTATAGTGTAAGGTGTATGATAAGAGACATTGTTAGGAGTGTCCGTATGTTCCTGTGTAATGTTGACTACTGCACCAGCTGTTTGAGGGTCCTGGTGATAGTTTATGGTTTTGTCACCTTTAATTTCACCGAGTCTTGTTTTAGTCAGGAGTTTAGTCTCGCAGACGGTAAAACAAGGCGTCAGGACCGATGATAAGTCTCCGAGGCTTTGCACTTTAATGTAAGAATCACATGCGGTTCACCCGACTACTGTGTATGCGACGCCAATATTTTATTTCTCTTTTTCAAATGTTACAAACTGTTGTTCCTAAATAACAACTATTGTACTCAAGTGGGTGCCGTAGTGTCACACACCTCTTGTGTACTAAACCATCTTGTGGCACTGTAAGTTAACTAGATATAACTGATACAATAAATGAGGAAACATGTCCTTGTGAGCAGAGCAGCGTCTGTCCATAGGGCATTATACTGTACTGTGTTAAGGTAATTAATGATGGTTTGCAGTAATCCAAGTATTTTTAAGATTCATTATTTTGAGGATTCCTTTTATGCAAAATAAATGCAAGAAATGTGTGTGTTATCTTTTGTCTCATCCTGGACACAACACAACACCTTCACTCACTGTTCTCACATCACCATTAACACACTGTACTGTACTACACTATACTGTATCTGAATTACACAGCCAAGTCAATGAAGGTAATTATTTTATGACAAAAAATAAATGAATTGAGATATTTTAGTAATGAATTAAATAGTGAAATATCAAATTATATATACAGTACTGTATATATTGTTACTTAATTTATTAAAGATTCAGAATTACATTATTATATATTTGGTGTTTAAAATACTTGTGCTTTTAAGATGACAATAAGAGCTGAAATATCCTCATTATTTCTCATTTATTTTACGACATTAGCTTTTTTTAACAGTTGTAGATAAAATTTTATAAATTTAGTGAAAGAAAGGGATTATTTTTGTTTTTTTAGACGTAAATAACAAGTGGACCAAAATAGAAGTTGATGGACTGTAACCCCTTCACCTCGGGCGCCTGGGGGGAACAAGTGTCAAAAAATGGTTCTCTGTTATTTTGTGAAGAACAGCTCTACTAGAACACATTGAAGAACATTGTACATTGCATATAACATGGTAGGAGTTAGTGGAGCATCTGGGGAGAGAAGACAAGACGAGGAGAGTGAAAAGGAAGATAAAATAAGTAAGTTGATTATTTGGTGTCATTAAGTCAGCTGATCTTAATAAGCAAATGTATTTAGCTTTCTCTACTGTATATACTGTATATATATATATATATATATATATATATATATATATATATATATATATATATATATATATATATATATATACAGTATATGTGTGTGTGCTGATTTAAACAAGTTATATCTGGTACCATGACGTCATACACAAGGAGACAACAGGTATTATATTATTATTATTATTAGTAGTAGTAGTAGTAACTTTTATTATTATTATTATTATTATTATTTTTATTTTTATTATTATTGTTATTATTATTATTATTATTATTATTATTATTATTATTATTATTGTTAATATTATTATTATTATTATTATTAGTAACTATTATTATTATTATTGTTATTATTATTATTAGTAGTAGTAATTTTTATTATTATTATTATTATTGTTGTTGTTGCTGTTGCTGTTGTTGTTGCTGTTGTTGTTGCTGTTGTTGTTGCTGTTGTTGTTGTTGTCCCCCAGGCCCCGATGTGGGTCATTGACCTGTGCCCGGGTGGACTAATCCCCGTAAAAAACCAGATTAAGTTGGGTTGGGTTAGGTTAGGTTAGGTTACGTCAGTGTGGTCAATCTTCAGGTGAAAGAAGTTTGGATGAAGTAAAGCCCAATATTTAAATATTTATTGTAGATTATCAATATTTTTTCCTGTAATATTTCCCACTTTCATTTTATAATATCAGTTTATCATTATTTTAATTTTAATTTTAAATCATCAACATTTTTGCTCAATGTTTCGCTTTTCCGTTATTTTCCGTTACTTGCCGTTAAATCCGTTGTTGTACACATAAATTAAATCTTTTTCCCACTTTGTCACCCCACCACACACCCCCACTACCCCCTACCCACCTCCCCACCCCTACCCACCACCACACACCCCACCCCACCCACCACCCCCCACCCCCCCTCCACCTCCCCACCCCTTCCCCCTACCCACCACCACACCCCACTACCCCCCTACTCCCCACCACCTCCCCACCTCACCACCACCACACCCCCTACCCCTACCCCCCCCACCTCCCCACCTCTCCCACCACCACACCCACCCACTACCACCACCTCCCCACCCCTTACCCACCCCAGAGCAGTTTGTCAGTGGATATGCCCTTCTTGTCGTGAGTGTGGTCTGTAAGCCGGATTTATAGACTAGTTGGTAACCTTATCGCTGAGAGACTTGGACCAATAAACAGCCTCGGTGGTGACTCACGACTCGAGCAACAAGGACTTATCCCCCACTTGAGGCTGAACTCTTGGAGAATTTTTTAAATATATAATAGTTTACTCATTTAATTAAGATGACAAATATGGCGGCCTTTTTACGCTGAGACTCTACAGGCTTAACAGATACTTGATATTCTTAACTAAATTACCACACAAAATGGCGGCCTTCTGGTACTAAGACTCGAGATGTTTGAAATGGCGGCTTGTTGGTACTGAGACTGTACAGGCATAGCGGAGTGTTAGTGTGTTGTGAACTTACCCACGGACACGGACGACCCCATGGACACGACGGCCCCACGGACACGGACGGCCCCACGGACATGGGACGACCCGCGGACACGGACGGCCCCACGGACACGGACGACCCCACGGACACGGACGGACGACGGGAAGAAATTAATCTTTTTCTGTAGGGGAGGGAGAGGATTGAAGGAGGGGAAAAGAGAGGGAGGGAGAGAGAGAGGGAGGGGGGCAGCGAGGGGAGAGGGAGGGAGGGAGGCAGCAAGGAGAGAGAGTAAGGGAGAGAGAGGGAGGGAGGGAGGCAGCAAGGGGAGAGAGAGGGGGGAGGGAGGCAGCAAGGGGAGAGAGAGAGGGGGGAGGGAGGCAGCAGGGAGAGGGAGAGGGGAGAGGGAGGCAGCAAGGGAGAGAGAGAGAGGGGGAGGGAGGCAGCAAGGGAGAGAGAGGGGGAGGGAGGGGGAGGGAGGCAGCAAGGGAGAGAGAGGGAGGCAGCAAGGGAGAGAGAGGGGGGAGGGAGGCAGCAAGGAGAGAGAGGGGGAGGGAGAGGGAGGGGAGGCAAAGGGAGAGAGAGAGGGAGCAGCGGGGGGAGAGAGAGGGGGGAGGAGGCAGCAAGGGAGAGAGAGAGGGGAGGAGAGGGGAGGGGGAGGCAGCAAGGGAGAGAGAGGGAGGCAGCAAGGGAGAGAGAGGGGGGGAGGGAGGGCAAGGAGAGAGAGAGGGGAGGGAGAGGGGAGAGGGGAGGCAGCAAGGGAGAGAGAGAGGGAGGCAGCAAGGGAGAGAGGGGGAGGGGAGGCAGCAAGGAGAGAGAGAGGGGGGGGAGGAGGCAGCAAGGAGGGAGAGGGAGGGAGGGAGGGATTGAAGGAGGGGAAAGAGAGGGAGGAGGGAGGCAGCAAGGGGGAGAGAGAGGGAGGGAGGGAGGCAGCAAGGGAGAGAGGGAGGGAGGCAGGAGGGGGAGGGAGCAGCAAGGGAGAGAGAGGGAGGGAAGGAGGCAGGGGGAGGGATTGGAGGAGGGAGGCAGCGAGGAGAGAGAGGGAGGGAGGCAGCGAGGGGAGAGAGAGGGGAGGGAGGCAAGGAGAGAAAGAGGGAGGGAAGGA